AGCTAGAGGCCACAGTCTCAGGGGTTCTACCAGGCTCCATCAGACCGGCAAACATGGTCTCTCTTTTTTGAGTTTTGTTCCATATTGTTCTCCCACTGTATACAAGACCTCCTACACATATCCCCCTCCAAGTGGTTGACAGTGGTAGCTGGGCACCATCTAGTTCTTCTGGTCTCACAGTCGTATAGGCTGAGGATTGCATGGTGTACCAGTCCACTGGACTAATTGTTTCCACGCGTCTTTGGTTTTCTTCACTCTTCTTTGCTCTGGACAAGGAGAGACCAATCACTGCATCTGCACGGCCATTTGGCAGGCTTTTAAGATCCCAGTTGCTACTTGCCAAAGTAGGATGTGGAACAATATTTTTGTGTAGTATGTTAAGCCAATTGAGCTTGATATCCCCTGCGACCATGGCACCAAGCCCACAGGTCCAACTACTTGCTCCCTCCAGGTACTGGCTTGGCCAAGAAGTGACTACAGCTTTGTCCCTTGTCAGCTCTACTGTATACCTGGACATCTTATAGAACATACAAATATACTTGCAAAAACACTGTCTGCCAACCCCACACTCCCCCCTGCATAGACATACATAATTGTTCTGCCTGTCCACCCATCCATGTACCCATGTATCAACATTTGCCATCACTGACAATGCAGCAGTGTCTGTGCAAAAGGGTTTATCTTTGTTGTCTGTATCTCGCATGCGCCTATGTCTTCCTCTTCCTCAATGCCACCATGTTGATCACTCACATTTGGTACACTGCACTTCCCTTCACCCAAATCAATACTTGTCTCTTCCTATCTAGCAGTGTTCCCGCCCCTCCCCTTCCACCCCTGGTAACCAACAAAGAAAATTTTCTTCCATATATAATTAACCTTTCCTTGACTTTTTACAATAATGGACTAATAAAATATTTGTCCTCCTGTGATTGACGTCTTTCAATCAGCATAACGTCCTCCAAGTTGATCCATGTCATGCAGTTGTTTGCAGACTGTACGTTTTTCTTTAGGGTTGCATAGTATACCATTGTGTGTATATATCATAGTTTGGTTATCCATTCTTCTGTTGATGGACACCTAGGTTGTTTCCATCTTTTTGCCATTGTAAATAGCTGGCTGAAAAGTACTTTTATCGGTCCAGAATTTTTACTATTTTATAATTTTAGTGTTTCATCTCACATAATTTCAACTAATACTCCCTTTATAAATATTCAATTGATATTTCCCAGTGGACCCTGAGGTTAGATGAGTGCTTTGAAGGGGACAGACCCTAATCTGAACAAGACAGCCCATATATCTTCCATATCATCCCAGGATTAACTCTGTCCAAGAATTAAACAAAAAATAGGAGGACACCTCAGCTCCTAAAGCCCATGTTCCACTTTGAGATTTTGGTCTCTAACAGTAAGCCTGGCACTTAATATCTCTTTAGAGAAAAGTGATAGCTCTAAACTGAAAATCACAGTTCCTCATACCTTTATTGACTAGATGATAGTGGATTTTCAGACCTTAAAAGAAAAATAGAATATTATTTCCCATTAAAAAGATCACAAAACCCAGCAGCCCCAAATGCTGCATGAGAAAGCTCCTTATCAGTGCTGCTTTTTCATGTTAGGAAACAATGAACTTTATAAAAAAACATCATCCAATGTCATAGTCAAACTATATCCCTGACTAGGTCAATATTCCCAGTAAGTTCAAGTAGAAGACCAGAGGTTGAAAACTGGAAGTTTGTGGATACATCTTGTAAGTATGTTTTGCTTAGCTTGCACAGTATTTTTAAAAATTGCTCAATTTTTTAAAAAATTTAAAATTTTAAAAATTTGTAAAAATTGCTCAATAGGGTAGCCTACTGAATTTAAATGAAATTTAAAATTCATTCTCTCATTTGCTCTGCTCACATTTCAAATGCTCAGGGTCACATGTGGCTGTAGTTGTTAGGTGCTGTTAAGTTTGTGTGTCAACTTGGCTAGGCCTGTTTGAGTGGCTGAGCAGCTGGATATAGTTATTTCCCATGGTAAGATTGGTAATTAACTCCATGTGGAATGTATTGGAGCAGCTGAGGAGCTGCTTTAGAGATATGGTCTGCTTCCTGTATATGAGCAGCAGCTTTGGGAATGGTCTCTAGCTTATGGCACGCTTGAACCCTGCATGTAGCTGAGTCATTGTTCAGCAGCCTGCCATGCTCTGCTGATCCTGGGACTTTCAATGGACTTGAATCAACAGCCTGCCATGTGGTTTGGTAACACTGAGACTGTGCCATTTTATTTGTCAACCTTGGGCTTATTAGCCTAGCAGCCACTAGCTGCCTAAGTGAAGAGATGCCTCTAGCTTCAGTGGGCCAGGAGCAAGAGGCAGAGCTAAAGCCCAGAAGGTCGAGGGGCTTTCACACAGCCCCTAGAGCCTGGCACTTCGAACTCGGACTTAAAGCCTCTAAATTGTAAGAATAAACTATTTTTTAAGGCCATCCCATTTGTGGTATATTCCTGTCAGAGTGGAACTAGGTAACCAGAACAGGTGCTGTCAAGTTGGTTCAGACTCAGAGCAACACCATGAACAACAGAACCAAACACTGCTCAGTCGTGCACCATCCTCACAGTTGTTGCAATGTTTGAGCCCACTATTGCAGCCACTGTATCATCCCATCTTATTGAGGGCCTTCCCCTTTTTTGCTGGCCCTCTACTTTACCAAGCATGATGGCCTTCTCCAGGGACTGGTCTCTTCTGATAACATGTCCAAAGCATGAGACCCAGTCTACCCATCCTCCCTTCTAAGGAACACTCTGGTTGTACTTCTTCCAAGACAGATTTGTTTGCTATTCTGACAGTCCATGGTATATTCAATATTCTTCACCAACACCACAATTCAAATGCAGCAATTCTTATTCAATCTTCCTTATTCATTATCCAACTTTTGCACGTATATGAGGCAACTGAAAATACTATGGCTTGGGTCAGGTGCACCATAGTCCTCAAAATGACTAGTGGCTAGCATACTGAACACTGCAGATATAGAATATTTCCATTATCTCAGAAAGTTCAATAGGGTATCATGAATTTAAATTAACATATTTAAAAATAAGAAATCTCACAAAGATACCCAAATTTCTAGCTTCTCGAAAAACTTATCTAGAAACTCTAGGCTGAATTCTCACCTGAAGGAAGTAGGAGGAATTGAACAAGGCTGTGTTATGTATTGAATTGTGTCCCCAAAAAATGTGTTGTAAGTCCTAACTTTTATAACTCTGGTTATAATCCCATTTGGGAGTGTTACATAAATGAGGAAGTGTTCGTGTAAGGTATGTCTTAAATCAATCTCTTTTTAGGTATAAAAGAGCAGATTAAACAAGCAAAGCAAGCAAGCACAGATGGGAAGATACATGCCACATGATTCCCAAGGAACCTAGGAATAGAAACTAAAAAGATACAGGGACCTCCCTGCAGAGAAACAGAGAGGGAGCTCTTCCTTAGAGCTGGTGACGTGAATGCAGACTTTAGGCCTCCTAAATTGTGAGAAAATAAATTTCTGTTCGTTACAGCCATCCACCTGGGGTATGCTATAGCAGCACTAGATAACTAAGACAGGCTGCTATCTTTTTGATATAGAACGTACTCTTGTTCACTATGGTCCTCACTACTCCCTATCGTCTTACATCTGCACATCAGTCACTTTTGACACATGTCTGGATTTCCGTGTCTTTAGACAGGAAGCAAATACTTTGGGATTATCCTAGTTTCTACTCATAAACTATTTCTAATTATCAAGTTCAACTAAAATAAAAAGTCACAGCCAGTCTGTCTATACTTACTTCTAGTATTTTAGTGAAATTTATTCTAGAGCAACAGAAAAAGACCTCCAGAATTCAACTGCCTATTTCCTATAAGGTATTATTTCAGCAATCTACTAAGGACACATAACAATTTGTTTTAAAGTAGTTTATTTAAAATTTGGTAATTTAAGTAAGAGTATCTAGAATTTTATTTCAAAATATTACAAAATCAAAATTTTTATACTGAAGGTATTTTAAAGGTGTGCCGGTACACAAGGTTACACACTTGGCTGCTAACTGAAAGGCTGGTGGTTTGAATCCACCCAGTGGCTCTGCAAGAGAAAGATTTGCTCCTGTAAAGATTATAGCCAAGAAAACCCTACAGGGCAGTTCTACTCTGTCATGTGGGGTTGCTATGAGTCAGACGCTGATAAGATGGCACCTACCAATAAAGCTGTTTTAGAGCTCTCATTTTATAGATGAAGAAACCAAGTCCCACAGCAGTTAAGGAACTTGTCTAAAGTTAAACTGCCAAAAGTAAGATCAGAGCCAGAGTTCTTTTGGCTACACTGTCTCACCCTTCCCTCCCACAGTCACGTAATACTGTGGTTCACTGTTTTTTCCCCAAAGATGGCTACACCATTCTATATCCCAATATATAATATGATGTTGACACATGTCCATCAAGAGGTGAAGTCTATGTCCTCTTCTACTGAATCTGAGCAGAACTTTGTAATTGCCTCAATCACTGGAGAAGAGACACTGGATGATCTCCTAGTCAGAAAAGGAAAAGCGGCTTCTGCCTAACTCACCCTCTCAGGGCACCTGCCTGAGGAAGCCCAGGCCACATGAGGGTATTTCATCCCACAGCCCCAGCTCTGACCCCAGCCAACAGCCAGCATTAACTGTCAAACACTACATGAACAAATCTTTTTATGATCCCAGCAGCCAGCCTTTGAGTTTTCTAGCTGAGGCTCTGGACATTATACAGCAGAGACAAGCCATCCCTGCTTTATTTTACTGGAACCTCTGACCCACAATAATCATGAAACAGAAATAATTATTGTTTAATCCACTAAATTTCAAGGTAACCTGTTACATAGTCATTAAAACTGGAACAGATGCTTTCAAGAAGAGTATCACTGACTGCTTTACACTTATATATTAGATAAGTATTTATGTAATGAAACAAAACATTGACAAGTCAAATAAAATGCTGACTTAGCTTACCATTCAGGGGGTACCATGCTTCCATCCACATCCCAGAATGTGTTTTTGCCATTCATTTCAGTAGTATATATAACCCATCGGTGACGGCCTATGTTGAAAGATCAGAATTTAGAAAGATATTGAGAAATAAAGACCACCTTTTCCTAAAAACCGTAATTTGTTGTTAGGTACCATATGACTCCTATGTACAGCAGAATGTATGTCCTATGTACAATAAAATGAAACACTGCCTGGTCATGTGCCATCCTATTATTGCTATATTTGAGCCCATTGCTGCAGCCACAATTTCATGCTTTTAAAGTAATTTTTTTTTATTAAGACTTTCTTTGTGCTTTTATGTAAGAGAAGTGTTAGAGAACTTCTGGGTATGTTAGTTAACATAAGCTCCAGGAAGTGCGTCAAACTTTGATTAGCAGCCTGGACAATACCACAGCAGAGTCTCTCACTAGGGACTAAAATAACTCACTCTTGCTAGTCCCCTGCCAAAGGAGTAACAGAGAGGATAGGGAAATGTTTTCAGGAAAAGGTATTCAGGGGGAAAAAAAACCCAAAAAAAAACAGTATTCAGGAAAAAAGGCCTCCTCCTGAGACCTGGGCAGGAGAAATGTATTTACATCAAACAAATCTGAATTACATGTTTCTGGAGAAGTATTCTAAAATGAGTATCTCATATCCTTTTGGTAATTGGTGGATTATACATAATAAGTAAACATTAACAATGATAGATAAGTATGACAACTCATGTTATTTTAATAACATGGTATATTCGTTAACAGATTTATGTGGGATAGTTAGGAGTATAACCACTATTTGCAAAACTGCTTCTACTGGCAGGGAAATGCATTCTGAACCTCAAATAACTAACCTGGGTCTTAAATTGGGTAAAGACGCTGGTAGGATATCCCAATAAAGCTGTCACTTATCAGTGGTTACTAGACAAATTCTATGAGCCTCAGATTCTTTATCTATTAAAATTCTTTATCTCTAAAAGATAGAGATGCTGTAAAACTAAGATTATTTAGTTCAGTATCTGGCAAATAAGAGCACAATGCATGTTAATTTCTTCTCTCCCTTCCTCACTGTGTCCTAATCCTCCAGATGGAGACTACTGAATTAGCGTCAATAATGTATTTTAAACTTTTAAGTAAAAGGTGATATGCATTTACTTTACAGGATTCTTGTAGGTAAATATATAATTAACAAATATCAATTAATGTTATTAAAGATAATTCAATCTTGAGAATAAATAGCTAAAACTACCCTCCAGTGGGGCAGGGAATCAGGAAGGGCAGAGAGAGGCCAGCTGGAGAAAAGTTCCAGAGTTAGGCCAGGACAACAGAGCTGGGCCTGGACAATCTTACAATACATATAACAATTTTAAATGTGCATACTCATACTTACTCATTCCACTTCCAGGAACTAACTCTTAGAATATGTGAACAAATAACTGTGAGTGTAGTTATAACAAGTTCACTGCAGCATTTTTTCTAACAGTAAAAAGCTGAAGGCCATCTAAATGTCAATAGACAAATGACCGAAAATCAATGGTTAATCCATACAGTGGAATACTGTGTAGTTATAAAAAGAATGTTGTGAAAAAAAATTTAAAATAAAGTACAAACAAAAAAGAATGCTGTAGAGCCAACTTACTACTATGAAAAACTAGTCCATGATTTTTAAGAAGAAATACTTCAGCCCAGGAACACTATGAACGAAACCAAAAACTAAACCCATTGCCATCGAGTAAATTCTGACTCATACGACCCCTATTGGGTTTCCAAGACTACAAATCTTCAGAGAAGTAGATTGTCTCATCTTCCTCCAGCAGAGCAGCTGGTGGGTTTGAACTGCTGGCCTTCTGGTTAGCAGCCAAATGTCTTACCCACTATGCCACCAGAGCTCCTTATGAATAATATAATTCCAAAAAAAAAGAAAAAAAAAAAACAAAAAACCCACAAATGTAGGTTAGTAGATTCATTCCAAATGTCAAAGATGAAGAAACTGAAGATTTTCATTAACTTTTACAGTCTAAAATTAATCAAATATGCAATCAAGGTGCATTGATAATTACTGGTGACTGAAACACGAAAGCTGGAAACAATGAAAAAGGATCAGTAATTGGAAAAAACATTGGTGACAGAAATGACACTGGAGATGTCATGATAGAATTTTGCAAGACCAATGAACTATTCATCGCAAATACCTATTTTCAACAACACTGATGGTAACTATACACATGAACCTCGCTGGATGGAATACACAGGAATCAAATTGAGTACATCTACGAAAAGAAATGATGGAAAAGTTCAATACCACCAGTAAAAACAAGGTCAGGGGCTGACTGTGAAACAAACCATCAACTGCTAATATGTAAGTTCAAACTGAAGTTGAAGAAAATTAAAACAAGCCCATGAGATCAAAAGTGTAATGCTGTGTATATACCAGCTAAATTCAGAGATCATCTTGAGAAAATATTTGATGCATTAAACACTAATAACTGAAGACCAGACGAATTCTGGGATGACAACAAGGCATCATCCATGAAGAAAGCAAAAGGTCATTAAAAAGACAGGAAAGAAAGAAAAGCCCAAAATGGATGTCAGAAGACTTTGAAACTTGCTCTTGAATACAGAGTAGCTAACGTGAATGAAAGAAGTGATGAAGTAATAGAGTTGAACAGAATATTGCAAAGGGCTTGAAAAGACAAAACAAAGTATTATAATGAAATGTGCAAAGACATAGAGTTAGAAAACCAAAAAGGAAAAGCACACTCAGCATTTCCCAAGCCAAAGAACTGAAGAAAAAATTAAAGCTTCAAGTTGCAAAACTGAAGAATTCTATGGACAAAATATTGAATGCCACAGGAGGCATCAAGAGGATGGAAGGAATATAGTCACTGTACCAAATAGGAGATCTGGTGGCACAGTGCCTAAGGCATCTGACTGCTAACCAGAAGGCTGGCAGTGCAAACCCACCAGCTGCTCTGTAGAAATAAGGCAATCTACTTTCGTAAAGGTTTACAGCCTTGGAAACCCAATTGGGGTCGCTACAAGTTGGCATTGACTCGATGGCAAAAGGTTTGCTTTTCTTGGTACCCAAAAATAACTCGCCAATGTTCAATCATCTCAGGAGGTAGCATATGATCAAGAACTGATGGTACTGAAGGAAGAAGTCCAAACTGTACTGAAGAAATTAACGAAAAACAAGGCTGCAGGAATTGATAGAATACCTACTGAGATATTTCAACAAATGGAGGCAACACTGGAAGCACTCACTGGTCTATGCCAAGCAAGTTAGAAGATAGCTACTTGGCCAAATGACTGGAAGAGGTCCATACTTCTGCCCATTCCAAAGAAACGATGATCCAAAAGAAATTATCAAAAAATATTACTAATATCACATACAAATACACTTTTGCTGAAGAAAATTTAAAAAATGGTTGTCGCAGTGCAACCATTCTATGCCAGGAATTCAAGCCAGATTCAGAAGAGGGCATGAAATGAAGGATATCAGTGCTGATGTCAGATGGATCTTGGCTGAAAGCAAAGAATACCAGAAAGATGTTTACCTGTGCTTTGCAAAGGCATTCGATTGTGTGGTTCCTAAGAATTATGGATAACATTCCAAAGAATGGCATCAAGATAGAAGGAAGACTCATTAACAATATGTGACCTGCAGATGATACAACTTGGCTTGTTGACTGCGGGCTTGGGACCATAGTCGCAGGGGACATCAAGCTCAACTGGCATAACATACTATACAAAACATTGTTCCACCTCCTACTTTGGTGAGTAGCAACTGGGATCTTAAAAGCTAGCAAGCTGCCATCTAGATGCAGCGATGGGTCTCTCCTCGTCAAGAGCAAAGAAGAAAGAAGAAAACCAAAATTAATGGAAACAATCAGTCCTAGCTACTGATACACCATCCGATCTGCAACATATACAACTATGAGACCAGAAGAACTAGATGGTGCCCCGGCTACCACTGTCATCCAATTGGAAGGGATGTAGGAGAACCTGAATAGAAAGGGAGAACAATGTGGAACAAAACTCAAAATCATTTGGAGGGGAAAAAAAAAAAAAAAGAAGGTGGGGACCACATTTGCTGGTCCAATAGAGCCTGGTGGAACCACTGAGACTATGTATGGCCCCTAGCTGCCCTTTAGGTCTGGAATTGAACCCACACCTGTGGTTTCCAGCCAAACAATGTCAGGCATGTGAGTTAAACATTTACCTCAAGTAAACACACACCCTGGAGAGAACAATCATGGGAGAAGGAAGGGCTGCTTATGCACAGGGAGACAGCTCAGGGCAGGAGAGTATGGAGGGATGGTCACTGGAAGAGGTAACTATGGGGAGGAAGTGGGAGGGGAGCTGTTGCATTGTGGTAAACTGTGGTCAATGACATGAGACAAAGTATATGTGAACTGCTGTATGGTAAGTGAATTTGCTCTGTAAATCTTCACCCAAATCACAATTTAAAAAAAAAAAAAATAAATAAATAAAATAATTAAAAAAAAACTTTGCTTGTTGAAAATGAAGGACTTGAAGCACTTAATGATAAGCAATAGCTTGATAAAAGGAGAAAAGTCTCAAACAGTCAGGGATTTAATTTTACTTGGATCCACAATCAATTTCCATGGAAGTAGCAGTCAAGAACTCAAATAATGCATTGTAGCAGGTAAATCTGCTGCAAAAGATCCCTTTAAAGTATTGAAAAGCAAAGATGTCACTTTGAAGATTAAGGTACCCTGACTCATGCCATGGCATTTTCAACTGCCTCACATGTATGTAAAAGCTGCACAACGAATAAAGAAGACCAAAGAAGAATTGATACATTTGAACTATGGTGTTGGTAAAGAATATCAAATATATAGCATGCACTGCCCGAAAAACAAACAAATCTGTCTTGGAAGGATAGCCAAAATACTCCTTAAAAAGGAGGATCGTAAGACTGTATCTCAAATACTCTGCACACGCTGTTAAGAGGGCACAGTCCCTGGAGAAGGACACAAAGAAGGGACGCTTGGTAAATTAGAGGGTCAGCAAAAAAGAAGACTGCACTAGATGGATTAATACGGCGGCTGCAAGAATGGACTCAAACATAGCAGCAACTGTGAGGATGGTACAAGACTGAGCAGTGTTTTGTTCTATTATAGATAGAGTTGCTATGCATCAGAACTGACTTGACGGCACCTTACACCCACACAGACTCATTAAAGAATAAAAAATAAACAATTAAAAGAAGGTAATGTTCTAAGGGGAGGAGACTCATTTTGTCTTCATATACTAAATATCAATGGTTTATAACACCATGTATTATTCTTAAAATTAGCAATAATAAAGATACATTTTGAGGAAAGGAGGGAGAGAGGGTGAAGGGATAGAAGAAAGGAGCTAAAGGAAAACCAATGTTACAGTTTTAACAACAAAGTGATGAGGTGGAAAGAATGTACTGGCCTGAGGCTCTGCCGCTAACTAGCAGTGCTATCTGATTAAGCCCTTTTCTTTAAAGCATTTCTTTGGGCCTCAATTTCTTCAACTATAATTGTTTGTAGATAATGTGTTAGTTACCAAGTGTTACAAAAATAGAAATATTACAAGTGAATGGCTTTAATAAACAGAAACTTACTTTCTCACAGTTCAGGGGGCTAGAAATCCAAATTCAGGGAGCCTGCTCTGGGCGAAGGCTATGGAGGGTTCTGAGCTTTTGCTCCTGGCCAATTTATGTAGCCTGGGATTTCTCTTCCCCCCTCTCTTCTCTGCTAACTTGTTTAATTTCTTTTATAACTCATGAAAGACTGAATCAAGATACAACATACACTAATCTTGCTTCATTAACATAAAAAATCTCAAATTGGATTATAACCACAGACATAGAAGCTAGAATTTAAAATACTTTTTTTGGGGGAAACAATTCAACCAATAATAGATAATCTCTTAAAATCTGTTCCAAGCCTAAAATTTTATGAGTTGTTTGAAAATTAAAAATATAATGGTTATTAGAACACTTAAGATATTGCTGTTTACCAACTTACATCCAATCCAACTATACATGGGTCATGCATTCCTAGCAGAAAATCTTAACTTAATGACCCAGTTTCTCAAACTGTAAAATGGAGAGAACAAAAACATGCACCTCAAGGAGATGTTGAAGATTAAAGCAGATAAGGTATACTATATATCCTAGTATAGAACTTAACACATAGTAAGTACTCAACCAAACTAAACCCAACTCACTGCCATCAAGTCAGATCCGACTCACAGTGACCCCTCCTTGGGTCTTTGAGGCAATATCACTATGGAAGTAGATTGCCCAACCTTCCTTCCCAGGAGTGGCTGGTGGGTTTGAACCACCAGCCTTCTGGTTAGCAGTCAAATACCTCAGGCACTATGCCATCAGAGATTTACCACCTTGGAAACCCAATGGGGGTCGCTGTGAGTTGGAATCGAGTCGATGGCTGTGGGTTTGTGTTCTGGTTACCTAGTGCCGCTCTGACAAGAATATACTACAAATGGGATGCCCTTAACATACAGGAGTTTATTCTTACAATTTGGAGACTTTAAGTCCGAGTTCAAAGTGCCAAGCTGTAGGGACTGAGTGAAAGCCCCTCGACCTTGGGCTTCAGCTCTGCCTCTTACTCCCAGCCCACTGAAGCTAGAGGCATCTCTTCATTCAGGCAGCTACTGGCTACTGAGACTAACAAGCCCAAGGTCAACAAATAAAAAGGCACAGTCCCACTGTTACCAAATCACATGGCAGGCCATTAATTCAAGTCCATTGAAAGTCCAAGGACTGGCAGAGCATGGCAGGCTGCTGAACAACGACTTGGCTACATGCAGGGTTAAAGCGTGCCCTAAGTTAGAGACCATTCCTAAAGCTGTTTCTTATATATGGGAAGCAGACCACATACCCAAAGCAGCTATTCAGCTTCTCTAATAGATTCCACCATGGAGTTAATTACCAATCTCACCATGGGGAGTAACGACATTCAGCTGCCCAGTCACTCAACCAGGCCCAGCCAAGTTGACACACAAACGTTGACCACCACAGCTTGGTTTTCAGTTCCAGTATTTCTTGAGTGCTTACTCAAGTACTCACATCCTACTTTGGTAGTGACTAGGGTCTTAAAAGCTTGCAAGTGGCCATCTAGATGCAACAATGGGTATTTCCTCATCCACAGCAAAGAAGAATGAAGGAAACCAAAGACACGTGGAAACACTTAGTGCAAGGAACCACCAGACCATGTGATCTTCAACCTACATGACCGTAAGACCAAAAGATCTAGATAGTGCCCAGCTACCACTGTCAACCACTTGGAAAGAGATCAGTGCAAGAGATCCTGGATAGAGTGGGACAACAATGTGGAACAAAACTCAAAATCATAAA